TTTTTTTTATAGCAGGGAGATTTTCTCTGTGGAATTTTTATGCTTTCCATCCTTACAAAAGACAGATGGACTTGTTTATCTGCAGTGAGGTTCAGGGACAGATTATAGATTATTTTGCTTTGTGTCATTTAAAACATTCTTATTTATGAGCAAGGAAGTTGGCAATAATCACGTGATTCATGGTGGAAAAATTGTCTGCAGGCTGCTGTTCCTGTTGTCCTAATAGGCTTAAAGGAATTACCACTGATGTAAATAATAGTTCTGTGTGCTGCTGGTGGGCAAGGCAGGGTAGGCAAACGCTAAATATAAAGGGTGTGTTTCGGGTAAAGCCTTTTCCGTATGATTTTTGCAAAAATAACATTATGAAGTGAATAATCCATTTTGATTTCTAATGAGCAATGTTAATAATCTTTGTAAAGATAGACTCTTTAATTAGAAATCCAAACAACACCTCAAGATGTTAAGAATTTAGGACTTGGTTTAGGCCTGGAGCAGTGTTTGCATGTGCATCTCTCCAACGCCCTGTAGTGGTTCAGCTTGGCCCAGGAAAAATCACAGTTGCAGTTGTTTTGAAGCTGAGGAAGAAGAGCAGCGGGGGAAGAGCTAGGCCTTCATGTGCCTTTCTTTTCATTAAAAGCAGGAAGAATTTCAAAAGGTGTTTCAGTGCCATTTATACTTTCATTTGTGCACGCAGAATGCAACCCAGAACAGCAGGGGAGCGTTTGTGCACGCAGAATGCAACCCAGAACAGCCGAGGGGAGCGTGACCGAAGCTTAGGGAGCACGAAGGAAAATAGTGCCCAGGAAAGGTGACAACATGGTTTGGGTGCTTCGCTGAACAGAGTGGGGACGTGTAGAGGACAGAGTGGCAGCGTGGGGCAGCGCAGCCGGCTCAGCGGCCACGGCAGCACGTGCAAATTGGCCAACTGAACCTGAGCAGAGGCGGGTCAGGGGAAGGGAATAACATATTGTAGCTGACGATGAGGGATTTACAATTGTAATAGCACAATTACAGTAGTAACACTAAATATTAATAGCATCCAAAATTCTCATGCAATTTAGTTTACAGTTGATTTTTTTTAATTGCCCAAAATTTTGTACATTGCCAACTTGGCCAGATAGTATTTTGTTAGAGTTCATCAAAACCAAGGTGTGTATTTCAAAACCGAGACCCAATGTCTAGTGTATGTTACACGTGGCATTGATAACATGATTCCTCTTTATCAAATGTGCAGCATTTTGCTTTATAAATTTCCAAATTTATAACTATAATTTCCAAAATTTTATAATTTCCAAAATTGGGTGATATTTTTTTCCCCAAATATTTTGTTCTCCTTTTTTGAATACTTGTCTGTTTTGGGCCACATATCTGTTGTAGGGTATCTGAGTAATAAGAATTTAAAACCTGAAAACTGACTTCGCTAGATCACGTAGAAAAAATGGGATCCTGTAAAGCTGAAGTGTGGTGTAATAAAACTAAGGAACAAATATCATCAGAATGGGTAAATTGTGGTTTAGGAATGTTGGCTGGAGAAATGAGTTGTACGCTGTTAGCAAGGATTATGTCCTGCATTGTATACTCACCGCCTTGCGTTCCGTTGAGGATCAAGTTTTATTCCGTTTAAGAAGCTCTGCCCCCTTCTTTTCCAAAGAAAAAGAACTACAGAATGATACGAGCAAACATGGTCTCAAGTACTGTAAGACAGATGCTGGTTTTATGGCTTAATTTTTTGCTTTGTGGTATTTCCTGTTAGCATCGCCCTTTTTTCAGCAAGTGTTACTATTCTACTTTTAGACTATAACTGCTCTTCACAAAACCTTTGCATCCTTGGAATGTGAGAGCATTTTAATCGGATTTTGATTGTGTTTCTTAGAATAAGGAGTGGGAGAGGGAGGAAGATTTCATTAAGATCTGTGAGATTGTGGAAGGGACAGATTGATTCTGATAAGCTGATTGGGTTAGTGACTATTTTGGAAAGGAGAGGTCGTGGACTCGAAGGGGACTAGCATAGCATGTAAGTAGTTGAGACAGAATTTCAAGTGGATTGGGAACGGGCAAGGTGAAGAGTTCATTAGCCTGCCTGAGAGAGGAAGGCATCAACGCAAGGGACAAACAAATCTCTGCAATTTATGGTGCCAGTGTGGTGTTGGTCTATTCAAGGGAAGCTGAAACCATTTTTCCAGACTGCAGACTTGGGAAGGCAATATTCTGTTTTTTGGGTTTTTTTTTTTTTAATATTCACATGCAGGGGGCTTCATGTTCCACAGAATCTACAAATAGGCATATTTGTAGGGTAAATACACACCAAAATAGATCAGGCGAGAGAAGTCCACAAAGACTGCCCCTTCAAAGGCTGCCCAAAAGTAGACAAGAGGGTGGCAACACAAAATTGAGTCCCTGAGTGAAAGACTATGAAATGCAGTATGAATTTCCTAAAAATTAAGAGTATGACAGCTTTTAAAGGAAAAAAAAAAAAATGCATCTATCCTTACATCGCCACCTGCATCTGCTGCAAAGTTTAAATACACTTTTTATTACACAAAAATTCAGGTTACTTCTTGTTGCTGAAATTCTAATTACTGCTGGTTTTCCCTCCTCTCTGCAGTAAGAATATAATTAAAGCAAAGCTAATCTCCTGCCTTTGTTGGCGAGATACTGGAAAAACTGCTTTGTCATGGTAAAAGTCATATTTTGATTGAAAACCAGCCGTTTGAAGGTCAGCTTCTCAGGTAGCACTTCACATACTGTTGTCACAGAAAGGAGATTTACAGTAGAAAGTAAATTACAGTAATTGAGATTACAGTAGTAGAGAGCTCGGTGTTTAACCAGTGATTGACAACACTTGAATTTGCAAACAGTACTCATTGAAATGTGGTTTTAACTGTTTCAAATTTGGTCTGTCTATTGTGCAGACCAAGTTATTTACCCTTCACCTTGCAGTTACACCTTTCAGGCTTTAGGTGATACTTTCTTGTTGATTCTTTAATAACTGTCTGAAAATAAACATTCTTTTGCTTTATACAGTTAAATCAGGTGGCTTTATACTTCAAAATGGGAGCCAGCTTTTTTTCCTTAAAATGCTCAGGATTTTTGTCTCATGTGGTGTTACCTGTGTAGATCTGGGGTCGTGCCATACTTGAATCTGAACGCTCTTTGTTTGTTTGCAGGAGAGGTCTGATCGGTGTTGCTGAAGTGATCGCTTTCCCCTGTTCTTAATGTGATCTTGGCGACCGAGATCTTGTTTTCACTATGAGAAGTGAATCGGGTTGTATGGATTGGTTGCAGCAGAAAATGCAAATTATGGTAAGTGGTAGCAAGGCTTTTGGAGATTTGTAGAGTATGCATTTATTTCCATCATTTAATTGTAGGCCTTAGCTAATAGACAACAAATAACACTTTTGGTCACACCAATCTTGATGTTTTTATTAGTTTGAAAGTACGTACTCAATGCATCTGGGCAGCTATTTATATTGTAAAAAGGAGTTGATGTTTGTATGTCAACACTGAGATGTCTGCTTCAAGAAATTAATTAGTTTATTTTTAAGTATCTCAACCCTTGAAACTTACTTGACTCATGGGAACTCAGTGCTGTGCAGATGCTCTTGTAGGTTTTGTGATGTATTTTTTGGTTGTTAGATCTAATCAATGAATAATGGTGTTTCTTGCTGTTTTTTTAGAGGAGGAGGAACAGTATGTCTTTCATTATGTGATACATTCTGTAGACAGCCTATCTGAAAGGCACCTTAATCTGAGTTTAGCTACCTTATGAATTTAAATTAGAATGATGTTATTTGATGTTCATGCTGATTCTACATCCATACTTGCATTTTCTTTCTTTTTCTGCAGATTCTTTTTCCTTGTTGGATTTTTTCAATCCTGTTGAATGTGTAACTACAACTATGGCAACAAGAGTAGAAATAAATTCTACTTTGGCGTCTTTGACGACAGTACCTGACTTAAATGAAAGCAGAAATGAGGATAAATCACAGCGTGTGTATGTGAGTGTGCTTTCAGATGCAAGTAACAAGACAAAGGAGGCTTCAGCATCACTAACTCTTGAAGAGAAGAACAAGTTTGGGAGTACTTTGAGATCTGCAACAATGCCGTCACTAGGATCAAGGCCAAGACTTTTTCCAAAGCCTTTTTCTAAAGAGAAATCTTCAGATACTTTTGCAAATGTAAAACCACCTATTCCGGCTTTCAGATCGAGTAGTCTTATTAGAAAGGCCACTGAAGAAACATCATCTGTTAAGGTATTAAGTGGAAATGTTCCTCCGTTAGTAGATCAGACGGTAATTGAAAATGAAAATAAGGCTGGCAGTGAAGTAGTCACAAACATGACTTTCTACACTGGTCCCAGTGCGAATACTGTCATTCTTTTTGAGACGGCAGGCACAGAGCAATCGAAGGTAAACCTGGCCCAAGAAAAAAGGGCTGCTGATGACTGCAGAGTATTTAGTACTATGCAAACAAAAGAGCTTCAGTGCAATGCGAAGCTGGAGAAACCATCTCAGCCATCTGAAACATCCAGGAATCCTGAAGGGTCTCTTCATAGGCAGATATCGCTTTCCTCCAGTCTTAGACCAGTCTCTTGGAATTCCCTCAAAACTGGTGAAAAAAAAGATGCTTATGAAGTTCATCCAGGGGAGAAAAACAGTGATGATGCAAATAATACCAACAGTGAAGTTGATTTCTCCATTGATGTGCAGCAAAGGCCAAAACATAGACCAGTATCTGCTATTTTTCTGGAATCATTACGAGATCAAAAGCATCGCACTGTGGAAGCTTCTGAGGAAGAATCTCCTGCAGAGAAAACATGGGTTAGAAAACCAAGGCCTTTGTCCATGGACCTGACAGCCAAGTTTGAACAGAAAGATCTTTCTTCTTGCAAGAAGACTTGTTCATCTCATGAAAGCAAGGAGAATGTATCGATAATTTCTTTTACTGACGTGGGCTGTCATGATCAGTCTGAAGCGGGGCCAAAAACTGAAGAAACTGAATTTAATAAAGTCAGTTCTTCTAAAACAAATTTGAAGTGCAGTAGTCAGGACATCGGCATCCTAAATAATGGAAAATACATATGGGAAACGAAGCTTAAATCTAAAAGTGAGCGAATTGAGGCAAAACCAGAAATAATGACTAAATTGCATGGTTCTGAAAGAAGCCATGAAACCACTAGTGAAAGCAGAACTAATACGGAGGGCAAAAGACCAGATCAAAAAGAAACATATATGTTTCTAGGCTGTGAAAGCCCTGCAGCTTCCTCAGAAAAAGAGAACAATATCATAAGAGGTAGTGTTAAAAAACACATTAGTTTGTTTACTTCAGAAAATCCCAGTACCTCAATGGATACAGAGCTTCTCCCATCAACTGCTGAGAAGGAAAACAGATGCGTGAACATCCAACAGAGAATCAAAGAACTGACAACAGAAAATACTGATATTAAGCCAGGAAATCTACGCAGGTCACTTCAATCACGACCACTTTCTGCAGATTTAACAAAGATGTAGGTTGCAAAGAAGTTCTATTTAATCCTCTTAACTTCATCTCATTCAGTAAAACTTGCTCTTTCAGTACAGTAAAATAACTAAAAGTTTTGGTTCCACTAAACGTAATTATTTTTTATACTATTATTTTTAAGCCTTTTTCCCCACTTTTTCCTACTCCTAAAAAAGAAAATTTAATGAAAAATACCCTGACAACAGCTGAAAAAAGAAGATGCTGTCAATAATATACCCTGACAACAGCTGAAAAAAAAAGATGCTGTCAATATTGTGGCCTTTGCATGTTATTGTAACTGTATATATATTACTAAAATTTCATGCATTTTGAAATCTTGAGGTGAGCATTGTAGACTGCAGGCTTATATATTTGTGAGAAAGCAAAAGAATGGTTACCATGTCTTCGACAGCGGTATGGAGTATTAGGTTTTCAGCCAGACAGGAATCTTATTTTGCTGTCATATTAAAGGCTAAATATCTATGATAACTATTCTGCCTATCTACTGAAGCTGTGGCAATGAGCAGTGTTGTTAGAGTAATATGACATCTGCTAATTTTTACATACCAAAACCACACACACACAAAAAAAAATCTTCCAGTAAAGAGAGATTTGGTCCAAGGTAAAATGTATTCTCTCAGTACAAAGTTGGGTAATTGATTATTCAAAATCAAAAGTCATTGTTTGTGACATGACTGAGAGCGAGCTTTGTGCACCTGGCAATACTATCTGAGGCCATACTGCAGGGCCTGGTACTAGCCTGGATAGTTCATGTTCTGTATGTGATGACAAAGGGATAAGGAAAGAAGGATAATGTTTTTTGGTAGTGTAAAGGAAGTGTGCTTCACATAATGAACGCAGCAGATGTTTGGCTAACAGGGCCTGCTTTATGAACAGTGGAATAATAGAATTTTTCAGCAAACCTTGGTCTTTAACATCAAAATAAAGAAAAGAAATTTAACTGACGCATGAGAGTATTAGTATCTCTTTCACTATGCCTCATTATGTATCTCTAAATCTTATACTATACAATAAGCGCATAACTAATCATTTTTTGGGAAACAACAATCCTTTGGTCTAGATACAATTAAGGCACCAAATACAGTTACTTACTATGATACAGTGATGTTTCTCCTTTATGAAATATAATTTATTGGATAATTTCTACCAGTCTGCTTTAGTAGGAAGTGTACCTGTTAACTAACAAACTGGACTAAAAGAAGTAACAGAAGTCTTTTGTCTTAGGTTTTCAAGTCCGACATCAAGCAGTGAAGCAAAGCCTGAGAAACCTTCTGAAACTAGAAACGACTCTTGCAATGAAATGCAAGGAAATAAAAAAGTAAGAAAATGGCATCAGCTGGTGTGGTTTCCAGCTAAGTTTGCATTTAGAAGGCAGAGAGCACTGTCCTGCGTCCCGTGCGTCTTTATCAATCCATTACTTTTGAATGGGTATTGAGAGTATTAAGAATGACATAATCCTAATAGGTTTGCTTGTGTAAGTCTATTTTTAGGACATGCTGGTAAAGTATTGGAGTATCATGTCTGTTGAGTTTTTAAAAGTTAAATATGCATGTTGTTAAATGCATGCAGTGGCGTAGAGTGAAAAGTATTTTATATACTATTTTAAAGGGACTTTTAGTGCGTGAAAACCCATAGTGAATCGACTGTGGCTGTTGTGGTTTTGTGCAGTGATTATCCTCTATTTTCTCTAAGCATGGCATTAGTATAGTGCATTTCTACATCTAAGTCACAACTCCTTATTAAATACGTGCTGTATGTTTCATGTCAGTCTCCTAAATAACATTTAACTTAGAAGTTTTGACGGTAAAGTATTATATAGAAAGTTCTGATTTGCTGTAAAAGCTGTTAGGCTGTCTTTGTTTCTAAGCAACACTTTGGTGTTGCAAAACACAACTTCTCTGCTGATGCTTCTTAGTATTGGAGATTTAATGTAGTTTTAAGGGTATTTCTTGTGAGTTCTCATGGCTGTGCTTTTTTCCTGTCTAGGTTTAAGATAGGAATATATGGTAAGGAAACTAGCAGCTAGATACAAGGTTTCTGTAGTTTAATATAATTTTAAAGAAGATCAGTTTGTTTTAAAAATAAAATCTTTCATTAATGGAAGTACTGTTTTCAGCATCTGACAATAAAGTAGGATTAAAAAAATTCCTTTGAATTCCTAGAAGAATGAAGATCAGTTTTAAAAATGTTTATTTATAAGTGTCTTTAGTGTTAATTTCCTGACATTCTTCAGCTTTTTTTTAAAGAGAATCTTAAGTCGATTCCAAGTTTTAATTTTTAAAACTTGAAAAAAAGATTGAACTCTTGTAGGACCGGGGACTATTCTTTGGTTCTGTTTATTATTTGCATGCTGTGCTTTTTCAATGAATGTTATTAAAAATAACAGCTTTCAGGATGCTAGTTATATTTCCTGCAAGTAGAGAATAGTAAAGAATTGGCAATAAATATTAATTCCCGCTTTCTCTTTTTACGTCAGCTCAGCCTTAACATTCTTCTTAGCTGAGCAGTTCCAGCTGTGATATTTACTCATGTTCCTTGCAGTTACTGACCATGTAACTATTTAGTTAGCGAACAGCTGTATTTGAAAAGGCAGTTTTGACAAAATACAGTATATTTGGTGTCTCCCAGGAGTTTAGACTTCCTCTGAAGCTGCCTACATCCCTGTGGTGCTGTTCTACGCTTTGCTTCTGAACTTGAATTTCTGTAGGGTTTGCAACATAAATGTTCGTAGGTGTTTCTGTGGTAGCTGGGGTTATGAACCTTCTGAAGTTTTGTACTATTTTTGCATGTGTTGCCTTCTCTGGAGTATGATGTGGGTATAAATTAACTGCAGATTAAAATCTCTTGTGAAATCTGAGCTCAGGAACTCACAGAGTCATGCATATCTCATGTATCTCAACACTTCATAAATTTCTCCTTTTTGGTATTCAAAGTAAAAATCAAGCTATGAGATAATTCTGTTATAATCAAGATTCAGGAGCTGGAGGTACACGTTTGCTTAGATTACCTTGGTCTCAGTGGATTTTGTGTTCAAACATGGATGTGTTAAACTTGTGCTTAACTTGTGCAGGCTGTGTTGCACAGAGTAGGTGCAAGTTAAGTTTTTTAAAATAAACTTTATTACACATCTTCTAAATAAACTATCTTAACTGTTGGATTTTCTTGTTCCAGAGTAAGGAGATCACGCTTGCACATGGCACCGATTTCACTGAAGCACATGCTACTGGGAACCCTTGGAAATCCCGGCAGATTTTAAAAATAACAAATAAACCTGATCAGATAGAGAGGAAAGGAAGCTTCCTTGGAGATGGTCAGCATTTTTCTCAGCAAAGTGAAAATTCTGTCTCGTTCACAAGCAACTTGGAAAAAAAATTAAAGCCAACCACACTTATGGAAAAGACCTACATTAAAACTGTCCGAGCCACCATGTTTGACCATAATGTTCAGAGGCATAATGTTGCTGCTGATCATCCTGGAATTGATTCAGCACTGAAAATGAATAATGAGCTTGAGGCAAAGCATGATGGGGTGACTTCGGGGCACAACAGACAATCATGGATGGGAGAAGTGGAGGAAACCACTAGTATAAAGAAGGAGTATCACAAGCAATCTGATTCATCAAAACATATAGCAGATGTAGAAAAAAGTGGAAAACCAGCTTGTTCAAGTGAAGGCAAGAAAATGGCTCCGGGAATTCTCTTAGAAAAATCTTTGGTTGAGAAAAGTGAAAAACCCATTCCTAAAAATGCAGAAGATTCTCTAATTTATCAAAGAATAGAGCCGAGATACGAAATCTTTCAGACGTGTGGTGAAAGAGCTCTTAGCGAAGCCATTACAATGGCTCCTGAAAAAAAGGCCATGACGCTCAGAACTAGAAAAACATCTGTGAAAGAGAATAAAAACGATGAGGATGTTTTACACACTGGTCAGTTGGCTAGGGCAAATAGTAAAACTCTGTCCTTGAAAGAAGATAACACTATTTCAGAAGCTAAAGACACAAAATGTTTTACGAGCAAGTCCGTGTTGAGAGAACCTACTGATTTTTTCTCCAGTGAATGCACTTTACCTGAACAGAAAAAAGACTCTGATAAAACTGAAACTGATCCAATATTAATAGCTGAGAAAATACCTTATTCTACAAACAAAAGTAAATATTTGGGAATGAATGAAAAAGTAAACAAACTACATGCTGAAATTAAAAATGACAAGAGTGAAGTCTCTTTCATGGATAAAACAGAGGGGTCTAATATGATGAAATGCTCTTCTGAGAAAAGGAGTTTTAGACCAGGCGGGACAGACAGCTATGAATTCAGAACCAACTTTGATCATGAAGTTATTTCAACAAGTGTAAATAAACATGGGGCCCAGTCTTCTTCAGTGCTTTCAAGTGGACAATTTTGTAAATCTTCCAGTAGCCACCATCCTGATACAAAAGTACTAACCATTAATAAAGAGGAATCTAGGGCCTTTGGTTTAAGGAAAAGTCTAGACTTAAATTGCAAAGAACAAGACTTTAGGTTAGGTAGTACAGCTCATGAAAACAGTGAAAAAATCAGAGTAATAGATCCAGAAGAAAAAGTCAGGAGAACCAGAAGTAGCGTTTCTGACTTGAAGATTTCTGAAAGGTGGAGAAGGAGGACCTTGCCTCAGGATTCTGTCAAGACAGAAGAAGTCGTCTGGCTCACTCCTGAAAATATCAAAAGGCTGAGTCGGACAGATTCATTGCAATTGGATGAAGGCTCAGTTAAAAAGAGAAGCAAAAAAAGCAAAGAAGAGGTGGAAGGGAATGAGGCAAACCAAACTCTTCTTGGCAGTCCTGATGATTACTTGAAAAATCAGAGTTCTGCCTTTGAGCCAAAGGCAACTTATTTTGCGGTGACTTATCAGATTCCTGGTAACAAAAAAGAGAAAAGCTTTGTTGGTACTCCTAGTGCAAGTGAAACTAATACAATTTCTAGCTCAAGTGAGGGAGCAACAATTAATCTGAACCCTGTTTTTCCTGGAAGGTCCAAACCTTTATTACAGCAACCAAATAAAAATTTGACAAGTACAAATTGTAGAGAAGACTCACGGGAGGTGCATATTAACAAGGATTGGGTCAAAGTAGAAGACAAAGATGATGTTTTTTCCAAAAACATTGCATTTGGTAATTTTCAAGTATCTAGGAAAGATAACCAACAGTATCATGAAAGAGGTCTGGATCATTCTAAAGAGAAAATTATAGATGTTGATGCTTTCCTGTTAAAACAGGATCTGGAAAATACCGCTCAAACTGATCTCAAAAGCAGCAGAAGAAAAGTCTCCTCTTACCATGAACCCAGATCCCCTCTGTGTTTTGCACAATTACATAAAGACAGTGAACTTGTCCCCCAGAAAAGGAGTGAAAATAACTATGATTTATCTGGAAGGAAGGCTGAGGATGGTTACAGATCCCAAATTCTCGATATTGATGCGCTTATGGCAGAATATAAAGAAGAATCAGTGAAGGCCAGTAACGTTCGTGACAAGCTCTCTGAAGATCACAGTTCATTTAGTAGGGAGAAATCAAAGAGCAAAAGAAATGTGTCAGATAGGACGTCTTCCTATAGCTGGAAAGAGTGGAAGGGATTAGATCGCTATTCTGTTAATAACAAACAAGGTGACCGTGCAGAAGAGTACCACAGGCCAGAGAAGTTAATTCTAAATGAAAAGAGCAAAGAGAAACTGGAATCATGTAGCCCTGATTTTGATAAACAAAAGTCCAAAGACAGAAAGTTCAGTCCTCCGTTCTGGGGAAATCCTAGCAGCTTTTTTTCAGATAAGTTTGTAAATTCACCTGTGGAGTTTGCTAGGAAGAAAACTTTCATTGTTGATGAGGATGAAGAAGTGAACTTAACTTCCAGGAATCAAAGTTCAAAATTTGTGATTGGTAAGGTACAGCCTATAAATGCAGTTGGTCCAGACCAAAGGTTGGAAGTTAATTTTGCTTCAAAACTGTCCACAAAGGCAGATGATGGCCTCTTACAGAAGAAGTTGGTCACAAAAGAACAGTTCTTGGAGGTGTCTTCAGAAGGTGATTGGAGCAAAAATGTAGCAAGGAGCTCTATAACGAGGAACAAAGACAATGGAAATAAGACGATGTGTGAGAACGACTCTTCCAATGTGAAAAGTAAAACTGATTGGAAGAACTATACATCTGGTGTAGGAAGTGCACCCCCAGATTTAAGACGATCCTATTCAGAAAAGAGCCACCAAGGAAAAGACAATCTACCGCTTATGCAAGAAGTAAGGGGAAGAAAGGATCTATACCGATCCAGGCAAAGCTTCCCATTGGAAAGTGCGGATAATGGGTGGAAACACAAGATGTCATCTCAGTCAGAATCATTTTTCCATGAGGATAAAAAGGTATTACCAAATGGTATCTAAGTGTTTCCTGTAACTACAGTTGAAAGCGAGGAGAAGCTTTTATGATGTCTTTGTACTGCTTTTCAGCATTAGCTGTGCCTTTGCAGCAAGTGAGCAGATACGTGCTTTTCAATAGAGTTCATTTGGTTTGGGTTGTATTTTCTTGAGGAACTTGTGTTGTACAAGATGAGTAGATTTTTGTTTCAAGTGTATAAATATTTATTGATGTTTCCATGGAGAGCTTGAAAAAGCTTTAAAGTGTGTGCATATTATTTTATTAATGCTACAAACTAGGATGTTAAATTGTTAACACTGCAATTTTTTAATTATTTGAAAAGAAGTAGTTTGGGTTTATTTTCTAAGTTGTCAACAGTCATGTTTTTGGAGTTCTTTTTGTTTTGGTTTGGTTTTTTTCTGAAGGAAGCAATTTTTTTTTTTTTTACTGGGTGAATGGCCCTCATTTGTATGTGAAACTTCACTGCTGATACTGACTTTGGTGAAATGCAAGTGATTCTCTTAAGACAGTGACACGTTAATGCATTAATGCACAGCCAGTTGGACGTTGATGGCTACAATGGTTTTCCATTTTGTGCTTTCAGCTTTGAACTTCCTCTGTTTTTTTTTTCCAGAAGGACACTTTATATACATATGTATGTGTAGGCATGTATATGTAACAACATACATAACTTTATTTTAACAGGCTTCTAGGAAAGAGTGGACCAAGCAGAGTTCAGACGGAACAGACATTTCATTGGTTTCTACTCAGAGAAGCCGCCACAGTTTTTATAAGGACAGAAGGGCAGATAATGGGACGGTATGTTATTTTGGAGGAGGTTCTTGGGCAGGGGCTAGGAGAAAGATAAGGGAGATGCAGCCTGGCTTACTCCATTCAGCACTGTTTTCCTTTTTGCAAATAGCTGTGAAAGAAAGTATGTGTCTTCCTAGCAGAAGGAGCAGATGCACTGTCTGTGGAGTTTAACTGGCAGAGAACGCTTCTCCCTGGGATTCCACCACGCTGGTCTATGCCAAATCTTCAAACACAAAGCATTAACCATGCAGCTTGTTCATTTTTCTAAGCGAAGAATTTTCATCCTGAACTCTTAAGATGGGTCTAGATCATTATGCTTTTTGTTTGTTTCTCAGCTTAGATAATGAAAATTGGTTAGATTCCAGAAAATCTTTTCTGGAAAATTGTGCAGACAAGTAGAATCATGTCATAGCCTGAAAAATGATGGGTTTAATTTTCTTTCTGTAGGCAAAACACAGAGAACTATTTACGTGAAGAATCACAGCTGATGTTTCTGGTAGTCTGATTTGTCTCTAACATGCATGCTTTTGGGGTAAATTCCCACTTAAAGTTGTTGGGTGATATTCTCCCAAGTTGCAGAAGGATGTCCTGACTTTAGCCCACAGATTAATTTTATGTTGGGAAATAACCTCCTATGTCCAGATGTTGTTCTGAAATAAAAAGCAAAGATCTGGATCTTCCAAAAGTTATATAATAAATGAAATATCAAAATTTTCTGTGGAAAATAAAGGATTTGAAAACCACATCAACAGCACAGAACTCTACAATTTTAGGAGAGACATTGCTGCTGCCACTGAAAGCCTTCCTTACTGGAAGAACTTGTTTTGAACCACTGCAAGTGCTGTGTGGTTTTGGGTTTGTTTTGTGGGTTTTTTGTTTGGTGGTTTGTTTTTTTTTAACCTTGTGCACGGAAACAGATTTGGTACGCTGGAATAATACTGTAGTCACTTCAAAGTGCACTCTTTTATAACTCTACCCATACATATTTGCAGTTTTCGAAAATCTGGATGTCCCACATCCTTTTAAAACTCTCCCACTTGTATGGAAAAGGGGTGACTGAAAGATTTTACCATACTGACTGTCCCAAGGTCAAATCTCATCTGTCCTCTTAGTCTGCTAGCACACTCGTGTGGCGACTGAATGTATTGCCCTCTGCAGAGATCCTGTTTTTGTAATTACTCATGTTGTTATTTACAGCCCTTTAATAGAGAATAGACAAAAAGATAAAAAAGGAAAGGAACGGAGTTCTTTTTTTCTCTTCTAGTGAAGAAAAAGAAAACGTCCAAACCTATAAGGATTTTGTAAACAAGTTTCCTAATAGGATTTTTGGAAACAGGCTCATGTTGCTCCAATTCTAGTCTTAAAACTTCATGGAAGGTATCCAAGGGCTGATATCCCCTTGTCTTTCCCATTCTTAGCACGGACTTCAGGTTGAATGTTCATCGTAGGAGGAGTTTGGGTTATTTACACATTTGGCAATTATCGCTCAGTCCCTAAAAGTTGTTATATAGAATCATAGAATCATTGAGGTTGGAAAAGACCTCTAAGATCATTGAGTCCAACCGTCAACCCAACACCACCATGTCCACTAAACCATATGCCATCAGTTTACAGTGCAAATATGTAAAGATGTTGTTGACAAGGTAGAATATGTGGGAGAAAAGCGCTGTCAGAAATAGAGCTGGGATAATTGAACTATTCAGGTAGTGTACTTGGATAAATATGACTGTTATTCTCCAACTTGTTCATTAAGTGTGAGGTTACTCAGAATAAACCTTTGACTTCATCAAGTGTAGCCTGAGACAGGGAAGGAAGGCTGTCAGCCCCACTAAGAGAGAAAACTCACATGTCCAGCATCCACCAGAATTCAGTAGGATCCAAGTGCTTTACTCCTTTGTGTTGCTTTGAAAAGCCTAATTGTGGTGTATTTGTTGTTCTGCAGTGCCATGGTAGCAAAAAGGGCAGTCTGGCCTTCGTGCATATAAATTGTGAGCGAGCAGGTGCAGAGAAGCAGCGTTCAGGAGGTGGAAATCTCGCCATACTTTCATATTCTCCAAAACCCCACATAGATATCGCAGAAGATTATGTAAA